GTGCACTAATATAATACATTTCGTTTAGTATAATAAATAAATAAAAATCAGCGGTTGACCAGAATGAAGAGTTTTCGCTATGTTAGTCATTTCAAAAAAGCTTTATAATTACAATGTAGCAAGCGATTGCTGTTTTTGCGTAAATATTTACAATGAGTGTCTAAAATTTGTTTACATGCATATTAAGGTAAATACAGAGAAGAAGGATTATTTTAGTTCAATATTAGGAATATGCCAGAAAAACGTTTGTATGAAATGAACTACGGGAAACGTGTCGTGGTTTTGAGATACCAAAGTTCACCTAAATTGGAAACTTGTTTATTTACAGTTTCAGACATAAATTAAACTTAACATTATGAGGTAACGCTAAGAATTAATTAAGCAGAACGTATACATTACTACATCACTCAATTAGTTCAGTGTGGTGATAAGCATTCTCATATTTAATTTGCTCATAATTACTTTTATTTTGTTTAGTTCTTATTATTTTATTTCTCCTTATAATTTGTGTTGCATATTTACGGTTCAGCGGACGTTAGTACACGTATATACGTATACACGTATATAGTACACGTAATTTGCTATAAAAACATGTGCTAGAATTAAAAATGTTTAAACTTATACCCCAAAATACTTTTTTTTTACCTACATCTACTATGAATAAATACAATAAAAGTGCTGGTAATATTGGAAATTCATTCAAAATATTATCCCTTGAAATCAAAGTTTCAGTGTAACATTAATTTCAATATGTTCACCTCATTGGAGTCCAAAGTTATAACTCATTGACTTAAGTCAAATGTTGTTTTTTATCATAAAAGAGGAAGCCGTATAAAGGGATGTTCACGAGTCCATTGACAGATAATAATTCTCAAATGAAGGGATATATGAAACAGTTTCATTGTATACAAGGAAATATTGTTGAACTACCTTGTAACAATATCATTATGATCATTCGAGGTCATGTATTTCGCAAAGTTTCTTAATATGTGTCATGCATTCAAAATGTCAATGAAAAATGTGTATACAATAACAAATTAAACAAGAACAATATTTGTACGGCATAAATGCTTCCTTCACCTTTATCCATATACGACCATCACAAAGGATGCGACATAAACCTAGGTTAAAGGTGAAAGCCTAGAATTTTGCATAAACGTTGCACTTTTAAACGGCCTAAGATATTTAAAAGTATTTATAAAAAAAATCTCCCAAATAAGGTAACACAGAAGTATTTTGCTGTAGCTGTCCAAAATCATCAAACACAATAACGTACTATTCAGTTGAAAAAAAAGTTTAACATAGACGTACTATACGGAAAGTGTTACCAGAATGGCTGAGCTCCTTTATCATGAATAGTGCCTAGATGAACGTCATCCTTCGCATTTGATGATAGGAATTGTTTGTTAGCGGTTGCGTACTACGGGCGTATTTACATTTAAACACTGTGCGCCACGAATACTAATCAATATTGACAATGAAGCTGCCATATTAGCATTGGTTACATTTGGGTACATCCTGAACTAACTCAGAGATTGATTGCTTGCTACTGCTTCGCAGTAATTTTGAGATGTTTACTTTATCTGAATTTATGCTTATAATTATTGTTGTTGAAAAGTGATTTTTGTAATACTTAGCTTAAACTGTTTAATTTGTTATTGTTTACACCTTAACAATTGAAGTTTCTAGGTGTATGATACATATTGTATATTTCAAGGGATCTATCATTGAAATTAACCTTGAGTGATATTAAAGATATTGTCTTAAGGTAGGCCACAACACCTTATTCTATAACACTAATAATGAATTTCCTGTGCCTCTGCATTTATAAAATGTTTGTTTGCCTACAAATGGACTTCTGAGTCACCTCGTATGTAGCTAAAGTTTCAGATGAATGTCTATGACCAATGTCTTTAAACCTTGGGTCTGCCATGTTTTTTTTATTTGGATTTTTTGTTCATTGCTAGAAATGCATACTATAGTAAAATTATTCTAATCTTGACTTAAACGCTTGTATTAATATATGTTTGAAGCATTACCAATGTTAGGCTTGAGAAGTTATTTTATTCGTTATTGACCCACATAATCTCGTTCAAAATGAGAATAAACATATCTATAAACAACGTAGAAACTTTAAAATTTGTTGATTTTGTCCTTTATCTTGAAAAACATCTTTAATTCTTAAGAGATTTTAAAGCTATAATACTGAAATTTGTGGATAGGTTGAATTCAATATATTTTTGATTGTTTGAGCACATCTAAGCTTGCCCTCCAATTGGTGTACACTTCATTTAAAAATGTTTCAAGACATTATACAATAGTTAAAGATGAAAACTATATTCAAAAAACATTTTATATTTTGCATTTTCCTATGAAGATACATATAATTACTAACAATTAGTAAGTTTTATAAAATAAGATACTTATTAAATGTGATTTATAGTAAAAAGATGTGAAACTGTTAACATAACTATACAACCTTGTATATATTAGTTTATGATATGTTTCTATTTCTAAACTGTCACCAGTATTATAAATAATTAATAAAAAAAACGACAATTTTCGTTTATGTTCCTCTTTTTAACCGTAAATTTGAAACAAGGATGTTGTTTATTCAAATAGTTTAAAAGAGAAATCACTTATTCTTTTTGTTTCAAGTTAATGAAAGTGTAATCAACGTACCAATGATATCTAACAGTTCTTAAACTCTCAGGACAAATATTCAGTCATTGTTTCTCATAATGTCATAAAAACAAGTTAGCCAATCTAGGAGCTAATTTTGAGCCCATAACAACACCATCTGTCTGATCATGATTGCAATTATTTAGTTGAAAGTAAGATTTTGGAGAAGTGAAATTCAATGATAAAAAAAAAAACGACTTACACAAGTCTTGTACAATCGTATCATCTTAAATAACCAGATATGTTACTAATTGGATTGTCTTTTGTAAAAGAAAGGTTATTATACATGGATTACATATCAAAATTTACACAGTAATCTCATTCATCAAACCATTTGTTTAGATATTTAAAAACTGTTTTAACAGTATACTAATTATTTTCAAATATTTTAAGGAAATAATTAAAAACTTGCAAGTTCACGATTACAAGTATCTATACATGAATCTAATCTAATGATCTAATGAATCTAATAATGAGACAATTATTTTTGTGTAAACCATATAAAATACTATAATGTCCTTATGTATATTTTATCACTAATCACATTACAAATATCTTTGTAACTAACATTCATCTTTCTTAGATATTGGTTAAAGCCTTAGAAATCTTCGTTATATATAAATAATCTAACATTGCAATAATAAACATTTGCTTCACAGCATCACTTGTAGAACTAGTTCAAAGTTACGTTCTTTAACCGTTCTCACTATATTTAGGTACAAGTTACGTTACTTAAAATGAATTGATGAGTTTAATGATGCATCTTTTAATGTGCGAATTCTTCTTGACAAATTTTAATGATGTATTAGCATTGTTTGCGTGAAAATAACCCGTGGCTTTAATATAAATTTCTGATTGGTTACATTAGTAATGCGACCGACCTCAAAATTCTTGTTAACCTCGCAAAGTAGGCTCGGATCATCTCGCCTGTTTTCCATCGCAAGTATAGATAAATTGTAGCCGAGAGGCAAATTAATCTGTGCCTAACACCACGGGATATCACCGCAATAAATGTCATAAAGCTGCACAAAAAGCTTTTTGAGCGTGTTGCTACAAAAATGTGCAGTTTGTGACGAATTTTACGCTAACAACAAATAAAATATAGGTATTACTATACAAAATAAGGACTATTTTATTTGCTCAAATTATGTGAGTAGGAATGGCCTTTTTCTTCTCCGATGAGCCGTCACTAAGTGTGGTCCATATATATATCACCATTTTGGAAAATTTTACATTTTTGCCTATTACAACACTCGTTGTAAGGAACTCATCAAAATAATTGAATGATATCTCCCATTGTCTATACTGCATACATAGGAAATCCCAATAACAATAAGTAATTGGCTTATGGCAATATTGGCGATATTTTTGTTAAATGTTATGTACATGACTCACATGTATTTGGGATTTTGTAAGCAATAAAGTCATGGATCCACGAGCAAGTTGGTAAATAAATAGTTTATAAAAATATACTTAATAAGCTTACGCGTTCCATATGAAACCTAACGTTAAGTTTAAGTTTATTTAATCATTTTTTATACTGAAACTTAATTTAGAAATCCATTTTAGAAAACATGGGTTTGTGCGCATAAGATAAAAAAAACTAGATGTATTCAACAAAGTTACATCTAAGACACTGAGTTATGTGTAGAAATAACGGATAGAAATAAAAGTGCTATTGTTTGTATCTTTAAAGGGTTTGACTTCATGTTAGATGCCCCCAGTGGCACAGCGGAAGGTCTACGAACTTACAACGCTAGAAACGTGGTTTCGATACCCGTGGTGGGCAGGACACAGATACTCCTTTGTGTAGCTTTGTGCTTAGTTACAGACAAACATGTTAGATTAACAGCCAAAATGATGAATAATATACATATATCAATATAACAAATAAAATTTGAATAAGTTAGTTATCAAGTATCAAAACGTATACATTATAACGATTTCCAGTGCATGAACACTTGTTATTATTTACACCTTTTAACTGATAAATATTTATATCAATTATTTTTTATCACTCTTATAAATCAATAATATAAATAAGAAAACACGTTTATGTTTTAAGCATTACTTCTTATGTTGTTTCTCTCAGTCATATTGCAGATGTGTGTCATATTTTTAATACAATTATTATTTTATTTTGAAGTTTTAGTATTGGGTAATTAACAGGAGAAAACTAACAACTCTCAGAAAAAGAGAAGGAAAGTCATAAGTTCTTATAATTTAACGTAATTACGTCGGTGCTGATGATGATAATTCTCAAATATTATTATAATTAATAGCTAATACTAGTATTATATCAAATTATAGCTACCTACATTGAATATTTAAAGGAACCTCCTCGCTCAGTCCTCTTCCAACGCTATTATGAGCTTGACATTGGTAGATCCCTCGGTGCTCTTTTCCAACATTTTGCAAGCGTAGTAACTTGTTGTTTATAAGGATTCCTTTTGAGGGTTCACTGAAGAGTTTTTCATCATTAAATAGCCATTCAACGTCTTGAACTTGTGGGTTTGCATTTATGTTGCATTCAAAATAAACATTGTGCCCTTCTCTAATTTGTTCGTCCTGAACACTAGCTCCAAGAACAAGAGAGAGCTTTGGTTGATCTATTAATACGAAAATAATTTATTGTGAGTAATTTAACAAACGAAGATAAAAAAGAAACAAATATTTTCTACTGAAACAAATTATTCATATAATTTCAAACTCTTTTCACAAGATTTTATTACATTTTGAAAGTGTGTAGCTGAACAATTAAGGTTTTTCGTGCTCATCTTATTGATAAAGTGGTTATTGAATATTTCAAAGAAAGGTCATTTATTGTGAAGTTAAATTAGCACATATACTTAAATGTACAAGACAAACGGACTAAAGTACAAACTGAAGAATAACAAATACTTTAAACCTAAAGTATATTGGCGACCTCTGGTGATACAACTGCAGTTTATTTGTTTAAAAACTAATGAATAATAAAAACAAAATATAAATGCATTTTCTATGATATCTTTGAGATATTTTTCCATCGAAGTATCATATTTATATCTCTTATTTTTGCTATTGGCTCTATCTGTGTTTATTATAGTTTATTTCCAGTAATTCATAGTATCATATCTATTCTAACAGCCCCCAGTGGCTTAGAGGTAAGTCTGAAGGCTTATAACGTTAAAAAACGGATTTCGATACCCGTGGTGGCCACAGCATAGGTAGCCCATTCTATAGCTTCGTACATAACTATATAAACAAGTTTTGTTGCTGAATATTGGGGATTCTTTATAACGTGTGTGTGAGAAAAATGCGGTCTACTCAACCGATGAACAACGAATCGTTTACTTATATAGATATGCTAAGGTATGAAAAGAAAGACTAAATTTCCGTAGTCGTTTTCATTATATTGAGACTAAAATGTACTCAGATTAACTAAAAGCTTCCTAAAATCTTGTTTTTATTTCGCTGCTTAAGTATGAAAAAACACATAGTATTATAACGATTTTTACTGAAAAAATACAATACTTTGGAAAACCTTGTAACTGCATATAAAAAATAAATACACCCTGTTGAAAATTAGAAAAAAAATCCAAGACTTGGAGACATAAATTACTTGGAAATGCTCATAATTTTAAAATTTTCAGAAATGTTTTAGTAACCGTTTACATTAGTAGATGCTTTTTAATGTTTTACCTTACTGATTCAGAAAACAATCGTTACTTTGAAAACCGAAGAAATAAGTTTAATATTGGAAATATCAGGCGATTGCTGTCGCAGACTATTCATATAAATGATGAACTATGTAAACGTTTCAGAAAATTTTACTTGTAACTACCTTCCACGAAAAAACAAAGTTTGCATGCCTGCTCTCATATTTTCTGCAACTTCTAACATTGAAAGAGCCCTAATTCAAGAGTAATCGTGAATGTAAGTGCTATGTTGGATAAAAATAACACAGTAATGCTCATAGCTCAAGAAACGAGGAATCCAGAACATCGTGGACCTGTTAATAATTAAAATATCATATTGTACTCTACTCCTGGAAGAATTTCCCCCTATTTTTCAGAGGTACTTAATCACGTGTTTCGTTTTCCGGCGAGAAAACGTGCTTATACAACAAATAATAGAACACAACCAGAAAAGCAAACTTCATATCACGCACAGAAATACTGACATGCTTACAATAGTTTGTGCTTTACTTGATACATGTTCTTTCGGGGCTTAATCTGATTTTTTTTTTGAGAACATTATTTATATATTACTCATGTTTTCCTAGAAACGATTTACTGACCAAAATAGCTTTTAAGCTTTTTTAAGTCTACTAAACAAAGCTAAAATTAATATTTTCTATTAGTTATTGCTAAAGTACATAATTTAAAAATCTCGATAAGTAACAACTTAGAAATGCCAAATTGTGCAAATACTTTTACTTAATACTGTGTGTAAATGAGTTATTGGAAAGCATGTAATAAGGTAACGAAATTCATTAAAGTACGATTCAATAAATAAAATATAACCAGTACTTTTTAAAAAGTCTATCTTTGTAATGCGATTATATTATATTCATTTTATAATTGTATAAAGATCCATATGAATCTTTACGAGACATAATTTTACTGAATCAGTGTGCTGGGCTCATTCATTACTAGACGTATTTTTGCTAACTCATTGTTAAGTTTTACTGTCCATTAGATATAATTTCACTAACTCGATGTATTACACACTCGAAAATAATGAAGTGAGCTCATTCAGAATTTTAATTTCTTAAACATTAATAAAACATTTTCATTAAAGGTCTTGCCAAATGTCTGAATGGTCTATAAAAGTATTCAAATACATGAATTTATACTCACAGAAAACGTCTAAATTCCAAGAGTCTTCCAGAACACTTTCAAGTAGGCGAGGATTGGTTGCTCGACATATTAACGTCTTTCCGTTGTCCTTCTCCGTTGGAACTAAAGTAAGAACACTCGAAGTAACGGGTGGATCGCCTGCTACAGTCTCTTTGTGGTTCACCATCTTTTTTCCGTCCAGCCACCATGTTAACACCGCGGCAGGAAGGGAACCTTTGGTTGAACACTTCACTTCCTGTTCTACTCCTGCTTCCAGCTTTTCCTTGGTTGAGGAAATGCGAACGTACTGAGGCTTCACTGGGCAAAGACGAAACTTCAATGTTGTAACCAAAATATAAAACTACATGTGTGTGGAAAAATTAAAAATACATGTACCTATAGAGTTCTTAACGTTTCTGTATAATCTTTTTTTCTAAATTATTTAACAGAAATGAAATCTTATTGCAATTCAAACTTCTTCAAAATACACGCTGATTGTTATTAGTGGGTTTCTTTTTTGATTTGTTTAAAATGATTAATAATCTAATTTTTTAGTAGAATCAACTGCGATATATCTATATTATATATATATATTATAGAAATTATACTGTTCTATGTTATAGAAACTCAATGCGTGTAGTAGATTGGTATAAATATGTATATATCAGTATATGAGATATTCTGTATTGTTTCTAAAACAGAGTTAGTCTTTTAAATTTTTAACAAAGAATCACAAAAAATAAGTCGTATTGTTGTCAAAATTATTTTTGATAATTAACTAATTTGGAAATATAATATTCTTGTATAATTTTATGTTCTTGAGGAGAACTTATATAAAGTTTCATTATCTTTGTAGACTACTTGACGATGTGCAGTGTTTATGTTTTCTCATTGGACTTAAAATTATATTTGGTAATAATCTTTAAAAAAAAGTACACGTATCAAGAAATTGTTGTGTTGTACTTAACTGTAAAAAAAATCATAGAGTTTAAAACAATTTGTAATGTGTTTTTTAAAGTTTGAAAATTTTAATTTATTTTCTTAGATTTAGGCTTATAGTTTATGAGGAAGGAAAAAGACGAACAAAAATCATATTTTATTACACTACAGGACAGATCCATGAAGACTGTATCGATTTATATTGTATAACGGATGAATCAAAAACATACCAACACAAAGTGCGTGGCGACTCATTGGTTTCACGCACTACAGGCTAATAATAGTAAAAAATAAAATAAAATATTATATATGTGTACGATGTATTTCGACGATTGACATGGGTTCATAGCTTATACGAAAGATACCATCAAGTACAGTCACAGTATATTACACTTATACAACGAAGCGACTGTGACCAAGAAAATATTGTAATTATAAAAGCTTTTACTACAAGGATTTATAACTATAAATTAAATCTGATAATGTATGTTTATACTGCACAGTAAAAGAATAAATGCTTTTTACGACCTTCGAGAGAGAATGACTTTGCTGTACAAATGATGTCAATATAGGATTCGATTCTAGATCCAGAAATTTAGCTTTTATAGCGAATATGTTAGCTAATTATTTTTAATTACTAAGTATCACATGTCATTTTCAAGTACATTAAAGTAATCTACTGTATATAGAGTTCTTTTGTGGAAATATATACACTTATAACAAAACTTTATACTGATAAAACGTCAGCTCTGTGGCTGAAGAGCTATGATATTAGTGAAGAGCAAGGAAGATTAATCAAACACATTGTTATTTTCTAACACAAATTACTTGCTTGTGGCACAAAGATGGAAATGTAGTATGAAACCAGGTGTTAGCTAACCACAAGCATTAGCAGAAAAATGAAATATGCTTAAGGATATGTGCGAGGAGCTTATAAAACATAAAACTCTATCATGAAAATCTTTGTTAAACAAAAGTTTTACTGTTTTTACTGAAATAAGCTGGTGGAATGTGTATATCTCTTTTGTTTAACATCATTGTTTGCCATTTGTAGCATTTTAATGTTATATGGAATGCTAGAAACGTGTTTGAACACACTTTCTGTATGTTATTAACTTTATATTTCAAAGGTAATTTCCGTAAGAAACATGAGGAGCGTTTTCAATGTTTTTGTGCATTTAGGAATATAATGCATGTTGCTTAGTATAAGTAGAGGGAACATGTCATTCGTATATATCCATTATATTGGTTTTTGGACACCTGGGGGCTCAGCAGTACGCTTGAAATCTTATAGCTCTAAAAATTAGGATTGGATACCCACGGTAGGTACAGCGCAGACTACCACTGCTCAGCTAATAGCAATCTATTTTTTGATCATAATTAAATTGAGCAGTACACACTCTGAACAAATATTCAAACTTTTTTGTAACATTGGCAATCGTTTCGTTGAATTTGTAACTGAACGACGTGTGAAAATACTATTATAATACATAAACAGTTACACTTTACTAAAAGATGTGAAAAAAATTGCAAAATAAATCGTAATTCCTTTTGTTTTCCTCACTTCTCTAAAGGATCGGTCCTTGCTTGTTTTTTATATTCACCCCTAAGACTATTACATTTATGTAAGAGAAAATAGTAAATCATGTTTTTGTTATTACAAGCACAGCGGTAAAGACTTTGATCATGTATTCATTATCTACGTAATATTTAAAGCGCAGTAACATAATTGTTTTAATACTTTTTTTCCCCTGAAAATAATAAAAAGACTGATCCTAACCAATATATTTTACATTACTAAAAATAAACCCAAGAAACCCGTGAAAAATATATCTGAGCCGCTTTTTTTAAGCAATTCAGATGAGGCCGTAATTCTTACTATTGATGTGCATTAGATGATTTTACTTTAATTAAGTACTTTATAAATTTCAAAGTTTTTATGCAATGTAACACTTAGGTAAATATTAAAATTGAAATGTCTTCAAGAATGTATTTATCCACTGAAAACAGAAATAATTACATTATGTTACTGTATATTTGTCAGGCCTGCTTACCACATAATAGGAAATCAATTTCAAACATGTTTGCAACTTTTCTTATTTCTATGAATATTAATAGAAGTAACTAAAAGGCAAAACATGAAAATAAAGTTTATTAAACGAAAGCCTGATAAGTCCACCAGTGGCTCAACGTTGCGTTTACGGAATTATAACACTAAAGTTCGAGATTCGATTTCCCGCGGCTGGCAAAGCGTATATAGTCTATTGTGTAGCTTTGCGCTAAAACATATAAACAAATACCCTAGAAATTAATTTACAGTGTTATTTTGATAACATTCCGATTTTTATTAAACATTTGACATGTGCCATTTTAAAATAGTTATAGGGGTTTTAATCGTTTCGTACTTTATGAGATACGTCCATGAATATACAATGATACAAGTATCTTTTGTAGCGCCGTCTCTTAGTCATCATTTAAATTTATATTACTGTTTCTTAAATATAAATTCGTAAATATAGCTTATTTTGTTCATTAATAGAATTAAGCAACGAAAAGAAGTAGGTAAAAATTCTTTCTATACTCTTACTAAATGAATTTATTTTGCAAAGTTTCGGTCTTAGGCCCATTTCAGGCAAAGAACAAAATACAACTGACTAAGGTGGAGAATCAGTTGAAATTAGAACACCTGTTGTTTAATTCTATTAATGAATTCTACTCTTAAAATAGCACTATATTTAACTTATTTTTTTCAGTTTATTTCCAGTTTATATCTACATATAAACTATGCTAGTAGGCAATCTATTTAGAATTGTTTTGCAACATTGTTTTTGCAAAGTAAACCAATTTGCACTTTTAATACGGTAATTGAAAGATAACTGTACACATGCACACACAAACATAGTTGTATATATATATATATATATATTGTAGGGTGTCAGGAAATAATAACATACTAACAAATGTTTTATTACAAGTGAAGTCAAAGTAGGATTGTTCTTAGGTCAAAGTAATCATCCTTAGTAACCGCGTAATTTTAGCCAATAAAAGTACTCACAGTTCACATCCAACCTGATGGTTACAGATTTGGGCATTGTTAGATTCGTGTTTTGAGCCTGACAAGTTATAGTACCCTTTGATAAGTATCGCTCCACAACTTTTATCTCTAGAATGTTCACCACTACATTTTCTTCCAGAATGAAATAGCTGTTGTCCATTAAATCTGATTCTTTCCACCAAGTCACAGAAGGAGGAGGATTTCCTAAAAAGTCAGTTCAGTTTTATTATTAAAAAAAAGAAACCTAAAAATTCTTGTTGATCCAAAAACTGGAACTCACCCACGTACATATATCATAGAAGAAAACAAAAAGTTATAAAAAAATATATATATTTGTTTATTGAAATATGACCCTCCCCAAAAATGCTCTTCAAATAGTATCACCAGGTTAAAAAAAAAAGTCTACTACATATTAAAGTATGTCGTAGTATGCAAACATTACTCCTAAATATTATATTATTTTTTGTGTGTCATCTAAATCTAAGAATGAAAGTTATAGCTACTATATATTACACGCTATTTATTATGTGTGTGAAAGACTCGTGTAGCATTATAGCAAGATTATCAAAAGATTGTATGTTTACAATTTCTAAAAAACGTTTGTAATAATGTTTCCAATTATTTTTACCTCCAACAGCCTCACATGTCAGTTTCAAAGAACTTCCTTCATTAATCGGTCCGAAAACTGCATCTTGAAACTTTTCATCTCCTGTTTTAACATAGAGATCTTGCGGTGGTACTGCAAAATAAAAAGAAAAAGGCACTGCTCTCATAATATCGTTTAATCTTTTAATTTGAAGTATTAAGTTTGATATTTCAGTCATAACAGATTATGCTAGGAACCTGAAGCATTTAAGACTATAAAGATGTTCTAGAAATTAACAAGTTCTTGTATTTCAAAATACGTGAAATTTGAATTATATTGGATCATATTGGAAAAATTGGCATGCAGTATGCCAATTCTCATTTAACACTACGTAACGAAACGTATGCCCGGATGTCGACTCGCAATTTGCGGGTTGGAATTACCGTTACACCAAACATGCTGGCCCTTTTAGCTGTGGGGGCGTTATAATGTGACGGTCAATTCCACTATTCGTTGGTAAAAGAGTAGCCCAAGAGTTGGCGGTGGGTGGTGATGACTAGCTTCCTTCCCTCTAGTCTTACACTGCTAAATTAGGGACGACTAGTGCAGATAGTCCTCGTGTAGCTTTGCGCGAAATTCATAACAAACAAACAAAAACGACATATCTTAAGTTTTATTCTCTTGCAGAGAAACTGACCGAAGAAAAATCGAAAAGTTAGTAAAAAATTAACTACTGTGGACAATCAGCAATTATTTTTGTGATCCATTCTCGTTCAGTTCGTGTAACACTGATAAAGCGAAATTCGACTCAGACTGAAGAATGGTGCATTTTTAGATCGTTTCTTATCGTAACCAAACGTGCAAGTAAAGGCTATAAACAAAGTTTCAACCTTCAAAACACCGAAATGAGGATATCGTATTCATTCAAGAGAAAATGTGTGTATATACTCTATTTCACATTGAATTAAGAGGTGAAACGATTATGTTTGATTGAAGACATGTCTAGATTTCAATTTTAGTCTTACGCTTTCCTGAATATAATAGAAAATGTCAAATAAATCGCATTAGGTTTTGTCAGAGATTGACAATATAATTCTGGTTTTAATATAAAAAACACGGATTGCTCAAACGTAAGAACCTATTTATAGTAACTCACAATCTCGGAAGTGTTTGCTCACCAATAATATTGACTTTTAGTTTTCTGTTTTGAGTTCTACCTCGTCGAAAGTCCACTCGGCATCGGTATTCGCCACCATCATCGTCTTTCACCGGCTCTATGACGAGGAAAGACGTTTTCAAGGATATGTTAAATTTTGCTCTAGAACCAAGAATGTCACTGGCGAAGTGCTTTCCTTCTTGAACTGGCTCATTTCTTGCGTCTACGCTATAAATTGGGTTCCCGGAGTTTCCTCTATACCATAAAACAAGTGCTACACTGTCATCCGGTGAAGGAGGGGTAATGTTGCAAGGCAGGATTACCTTGTCTCCTACTACCGAGTTGTATTCAGCATAATCTAAAATAGGGAACGAAGAATGTTACTTTTTATTTATTTAACACACATTAACACAATACTATCCACGGCCTTTTTTTTTATACATTCGTATAAAAAATTAAAAAAACATTAAATGCATATTTTTATCATAAACGAATATGTAACTACACTTTTTTTATTAAAGTTAGTAGTTGTTTATCATTTATTTAGTTTTTAGATTAGCGACGTACTTTAAGTATTCTAAGGAAAATCGCAGCCAATTAATTGCGAAGATACGACCGAACGTTGCTTATTGATTAGCGTACCAAACAATGGATCAGAGGGTCCATGGTTCACGTCTCTTTGCTGTAAGAAAAAAATTGCGCTGCGCACTTTGGGGTCGTTGAAGTATTATAATAGTGACAGTCAAAGCCCACTATTCGCTCAGAGTAGTCCACGAGTTAAAGACTGGAACTTTTGACTAGCTGCTTTACCTGTAACCTATCAGTTAGAAATTAGTAACGGCTAGCGGAGATAATCCTTGCGTAGCTTTGTGCGACTATCTGAAACAAACCAAATGTTTGGAATGATTACGTAACTAATGGTTTTAACAATAATTTGTTACGTAGGGTTTTGTTAAATGACTTCCTATGGCTTTTAATCAGTGTTTGAAACTGAAAAAACTATATTTGTAAATCACATGAAACCATCAAGGATATTAAAATTATATTAGATAGCTTAGAAATGCATGCTTATTCTCAAATAAGAGGCTTATTTGTTTATTCACTTTATTTTAGTGTCAGTCATACTACAACACATCATAATGACTTACTTGTTTTATTATGTTATCAATTTTGGACCAATATTTTAATAAAAACAGCTTTAATAATGAATACAGCGGTAGAATAGATAATCATATTGTTTGTAATAGATAATCATATTGTTTGTAATAATCCTGCATTCGTATAATTTTGTAGATTTACGAGAAAAATGCTATAAACCAGTTACAGGTATTCAGATTACTTCTGTGTATATTATTTATAGTTAGTGCTTATATGGATAAATAAATAATATTTAGGCATTGTGATTAATTTAATTAAATTAATAATTACATCATAGTCTCAGAAATACAGAAAATGTAATTATATTATCTCAATTTCAAATTGCAGAAACTACACAGTCACATCTTCAAAATGAAATTATGTTAATTTAGATCTGAACTTTCCAGACAAAATTTTGTGACGTAACGTGCATGGGAAAACAGTAAATCATAATGCTATTGAATAAACTATTTAATTCACAATTTTGCAGATTAACTAGAGTTTGCTTCAAAGAAGTTGGGAATAAATTAATGTAACTTGTTTTAAACTCGTTACAGATTATAGTTTTCATTTGTAATTATTTGTAAAAAACAAGAATATCTAAATATATATTCAGCCACTTTCAAATTAATTAAAATCCCTTTTAAAGCTATAAAAATACTCAAAGATAGTGTCATTGGAAATCAGCTGTATCATTTTTGGAATATACAGTAGCTCATGATTATTCACTCTTAAACATTTCTTGGAATATATTATTATTATTCACTCTTTAAGCATTCCTTTGTATTGAAGGTATGCGTGAGACGTTCTACTTCTTTTCTGACTGTAACTACTTTTGGCACCTTTCGATGATCGTATAATTTAAAATTACATTAACTTCACTTGAATTTATTTTGTTATGCTTATAGTGTATCACGCTCAATTATAAGATTTGTTATCATTGCTACTAATTATTACTAGTGTTTCAGTGAATCAGAACAAGACAAATTATATATGAAACCTCTTTTTGGTATTATATTTCTAATTTCTGATCTTTAAAATCATTGAAAAAAACAAACAAACAAAAACCTTTATATCTGTTTCAGATAGTCTGATATCGTTATAGAGTATTGACCTTTAACATTGGTAGCTGATGCAAACCCAACTCAAATACTTTACTCAGTATTTTATTTTGTGCTTGTTTTCTGCGTACTCAGAATAATGTAAACTTCTAATGTTCCTACCAATAGATATATATGGACACTTATTTAGGTAATTGATATTTTTAAACATAGAGAGAGATAGGTTAATGTCTATGACTGTGTAGACATATGCCTTTATTTGGTAAGATAACGACGTTTCCGTTGTATATTTTGAATATCAAAGTTTGATATAAAGAAACTTTACTAAAATGCATAAAAACAAACAAACAAGGTTATGTCTCAAGTCATAAAGAATGAGTTTGCACTGTGTTTAGAATAAAAACATCATAATTATTGTTAAAATATCTTTGTAGATTTGAAACGTTCTTTCTGTAAAATATAGAAAATCAAATGAATCATCAAATTATATAGCCTAATATTGTTGTTTCTTTCCTAAAATAGTTATTGTGACTGGAGAGCTTTATCAAAGTAATTGGTTTGATTATAACGCTGGGTGTCAGATCTTTATTAGGAATATAAATAACTTTTCCAGAACATTACGCCACATTTATAACGTGACGATCCATTTTGTGATAGCGACGTTTTAATTTCTTGGTAAAATTACTGAAACAGGGATATGTATAACGCAAATGCGAAGTACTGTTTTCTTGCAGACTTGTTACAATGAGCCAGAGCTAATTTAGATGGCCAACGTTTCCTCATGCTTCAATGGAGCAAACGGAGTTAAAGTATGGCAAGCCGACCTAGTAGGTACTAACAGTGAATACTGTGTATCAACAATGGAATTGATCTTGCCTGTCAAATACCGTTACACTTAGAATGAGTGATGAAGTATGATCAAACGAGCAATATATATTGTTAGGTAGACAATCTGGGTTTCAAGGAACACTCTTTGAGGGCGTTTGTGCATTATTTAATCTGAGAAAAATATTTAATAAGATGTTCATAAATAGAGAATTTCTGTAATGAAAACTATAGGAATTACATACGAAACGTTTGTTACGCATAAACACTTCTTTTTTAAGACGCAGTATTTAACAATTTCAAGTACAATGCAGAAACAATATTATCGTACACCAAGCTAAGGTACCCGTCTTTTGTCCAGGTTATGAACTTAAAAACTGTGTGGGAGAATGCTATGATAAATAACACAAAACTCCTGACTTTTACACAAATTATTTATAACATAACATATCGTTACAGTATTAAATTATTACGTCACCCAAAGTAAAACGTGGTGTACACTCTACGATGGTGGCGGTAGGTGTGCTTTCTGCTACCCGTTTCAACACCCAGCTCTTAATGTCCTTCCATGTGTTTCATGTGATTAACTAATCGATGGTCATTGGCCGTAGGAGTTTCTTACGGGACGAAGTTGAAATGTCATGGATCAAAGTAGGAAGAGGGTATAACTCAAGAAACGGCTCTTCATATCAGCCTTATTGTAGCTATTAGAGTAAAAATTTCAGTTAGGTTTATGTATTATTGTAATAGTGGCGGTCATTTTTTGTTGCATTCATCCACAGAGAGTGTTAGCGCACTCGCTGAGATATAAAGACATTCGTGTGGCCTCCCCCTACACTGTGTGTATGTTGTGTTAGAGAAAATGTAATAGTTTTCTATGTAAGGACGTGGAGCCATCTATAAATACCCAATAATAGTTATAATGAGAGATGGAGAGGGTTTGAACCCCCCAGTAACATGCGCCTTATTCCAAACTATCATCCCGCAAAGTTTGGTTCAGATTGGCCCAGCGACCTAAGATAACGTACAAACAGAGATACACAGATTATTGTGCTTTATATATAGAGATTAATATTAAACATGTATTAGTGTTTTCAGAAGTTCTATTATGTTGTGCCTCGTTAACTAATCAGAGAACATCTAATTATTATTTTTGTGTCAAAACTACTATATATTTTATTCTTGTATGTACGTGTCTTGAATTAAAAATTGTACAACTAGTCATTTTCGAATTTTATCAAATATCATTAAGAGTAATGGTTTAGAGTTATTTGACGCTTTTGAGGAAAGTAATTGGCAGTGATCTACCCATTTGTAGATGTTAATTTTATTTTAGCGTGGAATCAATAAAATGTTCATGATTAAGCACTGGAGAAAACGACCCTAGTGCGGAACATAAAATATGTATTTTTTTTTTGTCAACTGAATCTATAAACATAACTTGATGTCAAAAGTACATACTTTGTTATACAGAGGGTTAATCGCACGTTATTACAAACGATTTATAGATGGTAATGCATTGGCGCGTTGTTACACAACGTGAGCTGTGACTCTGCGAGCGATATATTTGTTTGTTTCAGAGCAATATCCCGAGCAATCGATAGGGCAATGCTTACATGTGTAAAATTGTGTATGGAAGCAGATTATCAAAAGATGTAAAGCCAAATGACATAACATTTCAAATAAGGGAGCCTCTAAATTTATCTTTGGAAACGAAAAATTTGCTAGCTGAAGAGTTTAGGACAGTAATGGGCACGGAAACGTTGCACCAACCCATTCGGAGAAACGTCGTAAACTGCAAATTTAAGGCTATGATTACGAAAAACCAAACAAACTCCAACCCCCAAAACCTCTGCGATGAAACAGGGTATATCTCCTGATACTGTTACCTAGATAATAATTTGTTAAAGACCCACACATTTTCAGCCATACCACGAAAATAAGGGCTATTTTCACGAGAAGAATGTTCGAAAAACTGGAATCACGTCGACTCCTTTCAATCACATAACAATCAAATCCCTCGATGTAACGTCAATGCTTTTTTTTTACTTTAGGCCTGTTTAAGCACGATCCTGGAAACCAATGTACACGTACAGTGTAGGGTCTTTGAAAAGTTTTTATGTTGTGGGTATTATAAGTGAAGTACTGGTGGAGAGCAATAGTGTATTCATAATTATGAGCATCAGAGTGAGCACGATGGATATTGTAGGAAGTAGTTCTAAGGGCTGCGCGCAACCTGGTGACTGTTATTTCCGCCTAATATCTATGCAACACTAGTTAAGTCAGGCACAATATTTAAAACATTTTAGTATTTCCTCAACATTCATATGTTTTT